ACAGGCTATTTTTCAAAATTCGTCGTCCATGGGATTTGAACTCTAGACCTGCCACTTGGAGAGGGTGACGACTAGACACATCTTTTATTTTTTATACACATTACATCACATATTTATTATATAAATATCTCTTAAGGGCTGCAATCATAACTGGATAAAGACTAGGATAAAGATAAGAATCAGGTTTTAGAGAATTTTTAATTTCTATTTATGAACTATATGTGATGAAGCAATCAGATAGAATAAGAAACACCAGAAGAAATAGCATTTAATATTATAATATAATGTAATATTCATTGTACTTTATTTCTCACTGATTTTATTTTGTCATAGAATTTCTGATAATGATGGGGATTAATGACTCTAATAATTCAATTTATTAATTTAATGTAGTTTCAATTCTTATGAAATTAATATGTAAATTTACTTTAAATATTTGTTTTTTACATAATAAAGCAGTTTAGATTTCTTATTTTTATGTATTAGAACCTTAACTTTGTTAAAATGAGTTCTTTGCTACGTTAATAAACTCATAATCGAAAGATTAAATATTCTTTGGTTAATCTGGTATATATCTTAGAATGCAAAAATAGTAAAGTTGATGAAATTAAAAAATGATGAAATTGATAAATAACAAAAAAAAAATTATAAATGATAGTGCTCATTTGTATTCTTAACAAATGAAATTAGTAATGCCTGTACAGTACACATGTGTACATCTCTAATTGCTATACATCTCTAATCACTTTGCATATTTAATCGCATACATCTCTAATCACTATACATCTCTAATTAAATTTCTCTTTAGCCACACTCAATGATATTTTTACTACGTTTAATAATAGCCATAGATTGATTGATAGCAATACATAAACGTTAATAGGCTTCAAATATTAAAATTACTACAAATTCAAGGATTCATAGAAATGGCTTTACTAACTATAGGATTTCGCCAGATCTAGCATTTCGTTTTTCGTCAGGAAATTTGGGGTTTCATTTATTGTTTGATGAATTTCATTATTTGAAGATTTCGTATCGATGATTAGTTTTGACTTTATTCATTATATGAAAAATAGCATACTTGATTTTTGACTTTTGATGGTGGATTCGACTTTTGCAGTTTTAACATAGCCAACTTTGTTTTGGGTCTTTATTTGATAAACTGTTATACAAACTTCTACAATTAAATGAAGCAAAAATAACAAACAAAACAATCAATAAAAGGGCTTTTTTCAGTCTCAACGAAATAAATAAGAAATATATACTACTATATAGCTTGTTTAATTGCTGTTATTTGTTTCATCTGAAATTTTCAGATTTGCAAAATCAGGTCTAATCTGATCCGATATTAGCAATACTAGTCGAGATATTGTGCCATCTCGGTAAACATCTTTCTTGACTGACTCTCTTTACGTATATCTGAACATCACCTTGGCATTAGAAGTATCAATATCAAGAACGTCTACTTTTACCTAAATCTAGAACTGAATGAAGCTTGAGGTGCATTGCTTGTAACGATAACAAAAATTTCCTTTTCGGCCTTAAAGGAATAAACACATAAAGAAATTAATGTGTGTTTTCATAAATGCATCTGCCAATATTAGTTCTGAAATAATAATTCGAAATTTTTAAAAATGATTTAATGCTATTTTACAGATGATACTTTTCTTGATTTATATTAAATAGTATAATTCTTCAGGTCTCTTACTTGTTCATAGAACTATTATAAGTTAAAATTGGAAAAGATTCTTTCTCGATTAAGGAAGTCAATGTAATATTCTTCCAATGTAGAGTACTCTCGTTCATTCTTTTCTGACCCACCTTCATTATAAGAAAGATCAAAGATTAAAGCATTTTCTTGATTTTCAAGGCTATGCTAACTGTTTTCGAGAATCTTTTCATAAAGTTCTAGTGTTCTGAGAAATTTCATTATTGCCTTATGCTAAATATATAAATTTATCATATTGGTTAAATTAATTCGTAATTCAGTAATTTATATGGATTAATGTGTAAATTGACAAAACTCGAAGAGTTGCATTACCTTTTTAAATATTCATTCATCACCTATTGATAATTAAACTCTTCATTAACAAGTTGTTTAAGTTCGCTAATACTTTCCACCAAGAGGACCAATATAATTTGAATTAAGATTTAGTATCATATAAGCATGAAATAACATGCAGGGGCGTTATTTTGAATAATGCCAGAATTAGGCTTAATTTAGGCCAAAATTCAAAATTACACCCCTGTGCTTATATGGTACTATTTTCGATAAGCGCATCTAATAGTGCTTTCATTTCTTAGGCATCAGTTTGACTTCTTGAACTGAAGAACGTTTCTCCCTATAGTTTTAAAATCACTATTAAGTTCTATTCAAAGCCAAGTTGATTACATGAAAGACTTAAGAAGTCAACGTAATGTTGTTGCAAATTGTATATATGCTTTTCCTCTTTTAGATCCAAATTGGAGAAATTTAAAGAAGCCAGAGTAGTGTTTAGATCTATGTCTATTTGAAAAGTTTGTCAACATGGTGTTCATATAAAGTCTCTTATTCAGAATCAAGGTAATTATCCATATAATACAGTAATACATATTTAAAGTCACAAATAATACAGTATTAGAATGCAATTTATCAATCAGATTTTTATTTATAGTGATTACTTGTTAGTTGTTAGTCAATAAAAATTGATAGCGCTATATAATCATCAAAATTTTCTCACCATCGTCTTTATCGTTATAAAATTTTCTCACAATCATCGTTATCGTTAAAATGCGTTTACAAGCAGATTGTTTATTAAAAATCTTTAAATATCATAATGACTACAAGACTTTATTTCATGCTTCCTTGTAAATCGTGAATGGTGTAGAACTATTGTGCCTATATTATGGAATAAACACAACTTTAGCAGTCCCAAGATTGTCAAGACTTTGATTTTGTGAAGAAGAAAAAGCGTTAATACCTGAGAATATTATCACTTAAAATAATTCAAAACCATTATTCATTATTCAATTATTTAATTTTTATTACAACAGTTTCTTTAAAGAAGTAAAAAAATGGCTTGAATCTAAAGAAGAGGCAGTTAGTTCTTCCATTATGACTTCATTGGCTATAATGTTTCTACGAGCGGACAGTAAATTTAAAAAATTAGAGTTTAATGGAGATATAAGTTATCCTAATCAAGAATTAAAAAAGTATTTTTAGATTGACTTAATCAAAAAAACACTTTAATTTCTTTGAATCTTTTATTTTCTCGTTTCGACCTTAATGAAGAGAAAGTATTTGCAAATATGTTTATTAAAAACACACATTAACATCTTTGTGTCTTTTATATAATTGACTTTGCAAAAAATGAGGAAAAATGTTCACAAGAGTTCTTATTAAAAACAGCTTTAAATATTTCAAATAATCGACTACACTTGAAGAAATAAGAGAGATCGCAGCAGCACTTAGTAAAATACTACTTTAATTTCTCTAACTCTTTCAAATAATCATCTTAACTTTGAAGGAGGAAGAACATTAGCAAAAGCTCTTTATACGAATACTACTTAAATGTTGGTTCCAATAAAGAAATAATTTTACTGAATATTCGCTTCAATCGAATCGACTCTAGAGGTGTAAATGCATTGGCACGTGCTCTTCACAAAAATAAATCTTTAACATTTTTTGGATATTTCAGAAAATTGTGTTGGTTTCGAAGGTTTGAAAACTTTATCAGAAGTTCTTGCATCAGACTACAGTTTAATCTCACTAAATCTTAGTTTAAATTATTTTGATTGTTGTCATGTGAGTGACGGTAATGATGACGATCAAAAGTCAAATTAAACTATGCAAAACAATAGTAAAGTCAAATTAAACTTAGCTATGAAATTAACAATAGTGTCATTATTGGAATAACGATAATATGATGTAATTGTATAGCATGTAAATATAAATAAGAAATGTAAGATTGAAGAAGTTAGGTAGGTTTAAAATCTCACGCATGAAAAGCACAAATTGAATAAAGAGAATAATTCTTAATTTGATAGTTATTATATTTGTCATTATAAAATAAAAATAATACACAAGCGAGTGTTTGTTAGTCCCATATTTAGTTAGATTTCGGTGCTACACCAGTAGTATCGCTTAACCCATGACAATTATGAATTAGCAAATACATTTGCAAAAACTTCATCTAATCAATTTAGTTCTCAAGGGAAAAAGCACTGTTAGAGGCTCTTGGCACGAACAATGTGTTAACTTCATTTACCTTAAAAATAATAGACTTGGTCCTGAGGATAGAAAAATGGTAGCAAAGGCCTTTGCAAAAATTTTACATTAACAACTTTAGATATTTCTCATAACATGCTTAATTCTGAGAGTGGAAAAGCAATAGCAGATGCCCTTTGCAAAAATAATATGTTGACTTTTCTTAATGTTTCATCGAGTTGTCTTGGTCGTAAATTAGGAAATGTATTTGCAGAGGCTCTTTAAAAAACAATACATTAACCTATTTAGATCTTTCAAATAATCAAATGTCTCCTGAAGGGCACAAAGCATTAGCAAAAGTCCTTAATACCAAAACTACTTTAACTCTTACATTGAACTAAAGAAAATGTGATAGTTTATGTTCTTTTGCAATAAGAAACACTAAGAAAATATTATATGATATTATAATGTAATATTTCATTGTACTTTATTTCTTGCTGATTTTATTTGTTATACAGGAAAGAATTGTAGTACTTGAGAGTGGAGGTGCAGGCGAATCGTCCCAATGATACTGTAACATGCCATAACTATATTAAATAATTATATTTAATATAGTTATGACATGTTACAGTATCATTGGGTCAATTCGCCTGCACTTCTACTTGAGAGCTATGTAAGAACCACTTGTTTAAAATATTGAGGATTTATAGGAATAATGTCTATAATGATTCGAATTCATCATTGTTTGAATCAAATTTTAACTTTCGAATTATCAATTTAATAATATGTGTTTGCAATTCTCATGACATTTACAATAAAATTTATAATAATTGTATCATTGATGTGTAAATTTATTATATATCGAAATAATACTCTAAATATTTGTTTTTACGTAATAAACTGTTTAGATTTATTATATTATCTTTACTGCATTAATAAAACTCAAATATTTGTATAGCCAATCTGGTATATATCTGATATCTTATGAATGTAAAAATAGTAAAAGTTCGAAACTAAAAGTGATGAAATTGATAAATAACGAAAGAAAATTATAAATAACAGATAAATTTGTTCCACTTGTATTCTTAATAGATGCGCAAATGGAAAATGTGTACCAGGTTGGTGCGCAATACTTCGGAGGTTCAATTTTTATGATCATTATATTTTTATGTTGATACATATACATATTATAATTATACAATTATTTAATTAAATAGTTTTTCTATATTGACAATGTAAATAACGAAAATATTTCTTATTGCAATTGTAAACATGCAAAATTTGTTACAAGTTTGTATTAAACAAGAACAAATAAATGATTATAAATATAAAAAATTTAATATCTATAACTATATAATAAAATATTGTGTATAATAATAACATTTAGATTACTAATATAAATAATTTACTTAAATTGTGTAATATTAAATCTGTTATGACCTGCGGGTCGATAGCATAGCGGTTATGCTCCCAGATTGCAAATCAGACGGTTGCCAGTTCAATTCCTCCCAGCGGCGAAGTAATGAAACCCCAAATATGGAAGTGAAACACCGCGGGGTACAGGGAACTCAAAACATCTACGGATAGACGTATTCGGAGAATAGTTATTCCGAGAAGTTGTGGCTTGTGAAGCAAGGCGTGTTAGAACCCCGATTTGTAATAACCGAAGTCATGAGATATACTGTGAGGCCAAAGTCTGAGAAGATACTACAAGAACTTGTGGCACTACTGGATTGGCTAATGAAATCCCAGTCTAATATTAAGGTGTTTCGACCTCTCCAGAGTGTCGTGCAGGCGGTCGAATCTAGGCCCCAATGAGGGAACCAGAGAAATGGCAGGCAATGGGATCTCAGGTGGATACATGGGAATTATGGAGGTCCTGTGACACTAGTAGCATAAGGTCAACTATAAAGATAGCTGGACCAAGTCACGTCTAGACTTGCCGAAGTAATAAAAAAAAATATATTAAATCTGTTATTCTGATTTGTCAATAAATTCTTTAAATTTATACAAGAAGTTATTAAGTAAAGATATCTTCGAGGGCATATGTACATTCTTTAAGTCATTTCTGCAACCTGCAATAAAGTATTTACTGTTTAACGAAAAATATTAAATTTTACATGGTGTATTATAATTAAATAGATAAAATTATTCTTTAAAAAAAAAAAAAACTAACCGATTTATAAATTATTATTAAAAAATTTATCATCAAAATCGGCCCAGTGGTTCTTGAGATATCTTGGGTTAAAGGTGCGAACATAAGGATCAGCAAAGTTACTATTACATGAAATATTGATTTTGTTAATCCTTATGTTTAGATCTTTAATTCCACATATCTAAATAACTACTAGCCCAATTTTGATGATTTAACCACTATTTGACTCAGAATTATCCCCTCTACAACTTTACTTAGAGCTTAAAGATATCTTTACTTAATAACTTCTCACATAAAATTAAAGAAACTATAATTGGACCTACTTTAGGTTCAATGTAATCTACTTTGGGATCAAAAAGTAGTTTTTTTGTAATTATCTTGACACCCAGCAGTCCAATCTGGATAAATTTTTTTAAATAAAATCTCTCAGTGAGGCACATCCAATAAAAAAGAGTTTATTTAATTCTAATTACTAGATTCTAAAATATTTAAGAAACAATAAATTTTTAGTTTTAATAAATTAAATTAAAATTAAGCAAAACCAAATTAAAATCTATATTAGAGATAAAATTATTTAAATTAATTTGCTTTAGATTTAAATTTTTATTTTATTTTATATTACATCTTTTCTGTATATCATATGGGTTTATAGCTTAATAATTATAAATGTTTTACTATATATTTATTTTATTTTAAAATTATATTTAAAAAATTTTTAAATTTATTCCTGTACATTATTGCACGGGTTTACAACTAGTTCATATAATATATATAAAATTTAGACAAAATTATTCAACATATCTATTTCTCAAAATCCATTACAGGTATAATCATGTAAAGTTCAAAATTTTATTTTAGTTGACTACACTTAATAATAAATAAAAACATATTTAGGACTTCAGCAAATTGTCAGATTTACCTATTCCACTTCAATGAATACTTTGAAAATAAAATTGAAATTAGAATCTATTATTACTGCGGAAAACATAATAATTGGACAGCTTATAGTTGACTTATTTGTAAATATTAATATCAAAGAAAACACCTTAGAGTGGTTTAATGAATTTCAAGAAATATCTAAGACAACAATGCGACTAACATGAACCTACCAGCTAAAGGGAATATTCATAGTAATTTAACCAAATTAAATGTTTTATGTAGTTATAGTGATTATGCTATTCATAATATCTATTAGCAATTTGGCATTATAAATTTAAAATTCACTTGAATTACTGTATGTTTATTATGTTAAAAAAATTCAGTATTTTTTTATTTTATTTTTTTACCTTCGTTATTGTTATTATTGTATACATTTTCGCTACTATGGCATATGTGACACATGTGGCACACCAACCTGGTACACATTTTCCGTTTGCAACAGATACAATTAGTGATGCCTGGACCTTTATATACAGTACATCCCTAGTATACATCGCTAATTAAATTTCCCTTCAGTCACACTCATATATATTTTTACTACATTCAATGGTCTCAAATAATAAATTTATTACATAAATATACAAATATGCAATAATAAAGTACATGATACTACAGTTTCTAATAGCTACAAATTCAAGGCTTTATTTTGGTATCATAGAAATAGCTTAATAATTATAGGGTTTCATCTGATCTAGCATTTGTTTTCGTTAGGAAATTTGGGATTTGGCAGGATTTCACTTATTGCTAGATGAAATCTGAGGACGTATCGACAACTAGTTTTGATTTTATTTGGCTTATGGAAATATATTATGCTTGATTTTTAACTTTGACGGTGGATTCGACTTTCGCAGTTTTTTTTTTTGTGATAAACTATTATACAAAGCTTCTGATATTAAATGATGCGAAAACAACAAATGAAATA